GAGCACTGTTCAAGTCCTAGACCCAGTGACTTAAACACACACCAGACACGTGTGCATGTGTGCCCAGGATCCCAAGAGGAGAATGAAGGAGAAGGGATTGCGTGGCCATCCCCCCTGGGAGAGTAATTTCTCACTTTCTATCTCTCTGTCTCTCTCTGTCTTTCTCATGAGCGCGCACTCCCTGTAGCAAAAACCTCTCCAAAATAATTACATTAATTAAAATATGTAAAGTACTTAGGCAGCTGGTAAACACTGTTTTAAGAACTAATTATTATTAAAAGGCTTAGATCAGAGTCTGGCATAGAGTATGCACTCAAAAAGTAGTTGCTATTTTTACAAGTAGTTCTCATTTTTCAGCAAAATTGTCAAAGTGGAAAGAAGAAAAAAATCTGAGATGTGCAGAACTAGTATTAACAGAAGGGAGGAGGCTAGCTGACTGAGGAACCTGTTAGGATCAGCGGGCAGCCGTGGAGCCAATTTAGTTTGGCATGCATTCCTCATGCTGCCCCACAGCCCAGATTAGTGATTTTCCTCTGGCAATAGTTATTAATACCTACCCAGGTCTGATCTCGGATAAATTTGATGGCGGGGTTCATTCAGGATTGCGGTTTTCATCAGCAAATTCAGCTCCGGAGATTGAAATGACAGGTTCTAAAACCTAAATCTGATAGGAAGTAAAGACAGGTAAGGACTCAGAGAGAGGGAAGTGGCCAGTCACTCCGCGGTGCTTCCAGCGAGGTAGTGTAATTGTTACAGTAAGGATATTTGAGCAAGCAAGCTGAACGGTAACAGTGTTCAAAAATGAGTGCTGGAATTATCCATTTTGGTGGGAGAGCAGGTTCAGGTGGTAGAGCAAGGTAAAGTACTTGTGTTAAAACCCTGAGGACTGGGGGCAGCAGCTGCCACAGTGGCTAAGGCACTAGACTCCCACATGGTTGACCACAGTTTGAGACCCAGACCCAGTGACTTGGAAATCACACCGGGCACACATGTGTCCAGAATCCCAAGAGAAGATTGGAGGAACACGGATTGCAGTGTGGCCTTCCCCTCTAGGGAGTGATTTCTCACTTTTCCTTTCTCTGTCTGTTTCTCTGTCCAGCAAGTGCATGCATCCTATGGAAAAAAAAATCTAAAAAAAAAAAATAATAAAAAATAATAATAATAATAATAATAATAATAAACAGAAAACTAAGGGATGGACTAGAAAGCCTAAAAAGATAATCGCTTACAATAATGTATAAAGAACTACAAGTTGTAAGCAAAAAAAAAACAAACAAAAAAGTCAACCTACTAGAAAATGGACAAAGACCTTGCACAAACATTTCACACTACAAGCTATCAGAATGTCCAGTAAACACATAAAAAGGTAGTCAGTTTCATGAATCACCAGGGACATGCAAATTAAAGCCACAATAGGATGTTACTCCCTCCCACCAGAGAAGTTAGAATGATAAACATCAGTACTGAGAGTAACTGGAACTGCACAGTTGGTGGGAGTGTGAGCTAGTACAGCCGCTGTAGAAAACTGCCAGGCTAACCATCCCTGTACCCTTAACCCAGCAAGTTCACTCCTAGACACTTGCACGCCCACCAGAAATTTGTGCTCATGTGTACCAGACAAGCATGTTATTCTTTGCCAAGAACTGGAAGCAGTCCTGATACATGCTGGGGAAGAATGGAAACACTTATACTTTATACAGTGGAGAAGAATAGATACCTTACAGCCATGTGTGAGTCACATAAACACAATGTGTGAAAGAACCCAGGCACGAAAGAGTACTCAGGGAATCATGTAATCCCATCTTTTTATTAAGTGCAAAAATGGCGCTAACTGTGGAGTTAGAAGTCAGGATGGGGATGGACCTTTGGCAGGGAGGGAGACAGTGACTGGAGGGGCCCAAGATCACCTGTCATCCTGTCCCTTGATCTCATTTGATAGAGTCATGGGTATCCATTCTCTGAAAATTCATTCAGCTCTGAGTTTAGGATTGGTGCATTTTTATCTATATAAAATGCCTAAAATCTAGCTTGAGAATTTGGGAAATGAGAGTTCACTAGTTCCATGTACAAATCTCCCTAGAATTAAAGGTTTCCAACTTAAAAATATATATGTGTTTACTACAAACTGCACAATTAACCAGTCTGGCTTTTTACCTTCTTAAATTGTGTCTTACGGGCATCAAAGATCTCCCAAGAGTAACGGATAAGTGCCACGGGCAATATACTTTGAAGTCCTTTTTCAGTTTCATTCATCCTGTCATGTCACATACACTGTGGCAGGTTACATGGAATACATGTATGAGTTACATGCAGAACTGATATAGAGCGTGTACTGGGTTGTCAGAAAAGTCGTGACGTATTTTTCAGTGTTTTTCTATGCAAAAATGCGTCATGACTTTTCCGACCACCCTATAGAACTCATCTTTTTAACTTTTCTCAAAGTGATAAACTTACTGTCATCCCACAGATCAGATCTGGTGGTTTTAAAGTATGATTGAAGAGAGAGTTTTCTGTTTGTTTGTTTGTTTGTTTGTTTAAGAATTATTTCACTTATTTACTTATTTTAGTTTGACCAGAGAGAGACAGAGAAAGTGAGAAAGCAAGCCGCCAGGTCCAGGACTCAAACTGTGGTCTCCCATGTGGAAGTTTAGCACCCTAACCACTACGCCCCCTGCCGGCCTGAAGAGAGAGTTTGATGCACCCCGGCTGTGAGATGTAAGAGACAGTGTGAAGGGGCCTAATTGAGCATTTGTTGTAACTGACGCTTACTGTTTTGACTGCATGTTGGTGTCTGTGGTGCAGTTTAAGCAACTTAGTGAGCTTTTTCATCTGTGAATGGATTTTGTTTTGTTTAGTCTACATTGTTTTCAGATTGATGATTCAAAACCTCACACTTTCGGAGAACATCACTTCATAGTTCTTCCCTTTTCTGCTGTTTTTATATCGCATGAAGCATTGCACATTGAAGCCATCTGCAAGGCCTGAATGGAATGAGATTAAAAAATATATATCGTCACTTAGATTGACACAGAAAAGGCTGAGATTCATTTGGAGTTTATTCCTGATTTTCTTTTATTCTTGAAAGTTTCAAATTTCATTTCAAAATGGTTGTTAACGTGCTCTGAGCCAAAAGTATCTTTGATTCATAATTTTAAATAGCTTGACGTTGGGTCAAAGGAAGGGGCTCCATTTTGTCACCCAGAAGAATCTGAGGCACCTAGTTCTCTCTGTTAAGATAGTAAATACAGTAAAGTCCCACCGCTGTTGAAAAAGTCGGACTGGGGAACCAGCAGTTAGCGTAATGGCTATGTCGCTGGACTCCCACGTAGTCGACCGCGGTTCGCGTCCCGGACCCAGTGGCTTAAAACTCACGCCGGGCACGTGTGCGTGCGTGCCCAAGATCCCAAAAGGAAAATGGAGGAGAAGGGATTGCGGCGTGACCATCCCCTCTGGGGGGTGATTTCTCGCTTTCTGTCTCTATGTCTCTCTCTGTCTGTCTGGCGAGCGCACGCGCTCTATAGCGAAAACCTCTCAAAAAAAAAAAAAAGAAAAGTAAAAAAAAAAAAAAAAGTCGGACTGGGTCCAGCCCTGTAGCACAGTGGTTAGGTTCTGTGCATTGGGAGCCGCATCCCATAGGGCCAACTACGATTCGAATCCAAGTCCTGGAAGCTTGAACAACATGTCTGGCATGTGTGTGTGTGTGTGTGTGTGTGCACGCGCGCGTGTGTGCTCAAAATCCTGATGGAATAGAGAAACGGACTGTGGCATGATGCAGTCTCTACCGCTCTCACTCACTGCTAGGCAAAAGTCAGGTTAGTTTAATCAGCTCAGAATGCTATCTGACTTAGTATGCATTTCAGAGGGAAAAGCAAAAATGTAAGAATGAAAGAATTACATTAGTTAAAATATATTAAATACTTAGATCAGTGTCTAGCAACTAGTAAACACTACTGAAATATTAGTTATTACCAAAAGGCTTAGGTGAGGGTCTGACATAAGAGTGTACACTCAAGAAATAGTTTCTGTTTTAGAGGGAATTTCCACTTTTTCAACTCAGTTGTATAAATGGAATTAAGAAAATTGCCAGATGAATATATCAAAATAAATGTCCTTTTGCATGCCTAGACTGTGTCACAGCTATTAGATATTTGTCAAAAACCATTTTTCAACATGGCGACTTTTTTGAGGAGTTAGTGAAAAAATTGTGCATGCCTGGAATGTTGCGAAAGAAATTCATGATTTAAAATGCACCCCATGGTCTTACACTCTTTTTGCAGTATCAGTGTTTCTAAGAGTAGCGTTTGTATTTTGTGCAGTGGATTAGTCAGGGTCCCTCCACTGTTTCCCCACAGAAGGTTGTCCAATGCTGCTGAGCTCTGCTCAGTTCCCCTTATTGGCGTTAGCTCGGATTGCAAAAATGAGGAAGGAGAGTACAGGCTAATTTCAAAGTATGAAACGTGTTCGGTTTGCAGGCAGATTGCCCACTGCCACTGTGTTTGTCCTCTTCACAAATAATGTCATTGTAATACTGTGGCAGCCTGCAGTCATAAACTCTAGAACTAAGAGAAGAAATGAACCATGAAATACGCTCTTATTTCGGGGCCCTGCGAGAGTGCCTTAAATGATAAACCAAAAGACGCAGTGACCCCACAGCTATGTTCAACACACTCTTTATTTTGACATATCTCAAAATAGCAAGCTTTGCTAAGAACCCAAGAATGAAAGTCCTATTTCTACATCCTCAGTTACCCTCCTGCACCTCCATGTCATCTTGGGCGGGCCCTTGGTGTTCTGTGCCCGTTATCTCCCATCCGCTAATGTACTATAAATATTCAAAAGCTCTAAATTGTGTTGTTTTTTCAGGGGACAATTATAATTTCTGATTAAAGACACACTGTTTGGGAATGATTGCAATGGAGGAAGGCTTTAATCATGTTACATAATTCTTGTGAGGTAATTGTGTTTATTTTTTATTCATCGTTATTTATTTCTTTGCTTAGCAGACAGAAGGTGGAGCACAGACAGACGGCCAGCAGTCACAGACACAAAGTAGTGAAAATTCAGAGAGTAAATCCACCCCCAAACGACTGCATGTCTCTAATATTCCTTTCCGCTTCCGGGACCCTGACCTCCGACAGATGTTTGGGGTAAGTCTCTGAAGTCCTTTTATGACTTTTGCAATTAAAATAGAATTTAATCCATCAGATGTGTTATTAGCCATTAGTACTTGGTTTATACTACAGTAGACCACTAAAGATTCTAAAGTGGTCCAGGATTGTCATCAGTCTTTCGAAGCCTTTTTCTGTCATTCTGTCTTTTAGGCATTAGCCTTGCAGGTTGTCACCTACCAAGGTGACCATGCTACCCAGTTTGCTGGGATCGAGACTTGTGGCGTGAGGCTTCTAGTGATAAAATCAAGAAGAAATGATCACCCTGCTCACATACCCTACATATCAGCAACAAAACAGTAAACATATCAGTAATGTGCTCATTTTCACCTCAAGGAACAAATACACACATTTTTGAAGCAGTAGTTCATAAATGTATCTGTGTATTGGAAATAGCTTGAGGAACTTAAAAAATACTGATGACTATGTTCTATATACATAGGTTGTGATATAATTTGCTTGGGATGAGGTTTGGGCTTAGGCATTTTTACAAGCTCGCCAGGTGATTCTAATGTGCAGATGAGTTTGTGGACTTCTACTTACTCATACCATCACACATTAGTTCTTTCTTTGCCTTCCATATAAGCCCAGCACAATATGCCTGCCCTCTCCTCAAATACAGGACCAGAGAAATGAGGTTTAGGAAGGCATTATGGCACCCTGTACTCTGCCTTTGCAGGTACTAAGACCATATGCAATATAGAAAATACGGACTTAGAAATGACTTGTTGGGGCCAGCAGGTGGGTGTGGTGGTTAAAGCATTGGACCCCTACATGGCCGACTGTGGTTCAAGTCCTGGACCTGGTGACTTGCTTTCTTACTTTCTCTCTCTCTCTCTCTCTCTCTCTCTCTCTCTCTCTCTCTCTCTCTTTCTCTCTAATGAGCATATGTACCCCAAAGCAAATTTTAAAAGAATAGTAATAAATAAAATTAAATTAATTTCTTAAAAAAGAAAGAAGTGACTTTGGTAAGGTGGAAAGAGTATTGACTTGGTATGAAGAGCCTGGATTCCGATTCTATTTGCATGTGACCTTGGGAAATTCATGTAACCTCTTTGGATTTGAATTTTATACCTATAAAAATAGGGATCGTAATCTCTATCCTACACATGTTATGAATTAAATGAAATGGTATGTGAAAGCAGACGTAGTACCTCTGTATTTTGTTTTTATTTCCTTTCTGTACTCTAGAGAGTCAAGACCAATACCTAAAGTCAAGTGTAGCAGATTGGTTTGCTAGCTCTCCTGTGTTCCTTCACCTGTTTACTTCCTCCAAAACCACCATTATGAAAGCAAAGTATAAAAGCAGAGATTTAAGTGGTTGGGAAGTGAATGGCTGCTGAGTCTTAATTTTTTCTGAGCCTGTGTGTTGTTGCCTGTTTTAATTTGACCACACACTTAATTTTACCTAGGGCTAAAAAATAATTTTTAAAAATTTCATTAGGTTAACTGCCCAGTGTTTTGTTTAAAAACCAAATGCACATCTTTCCATCTTGGTCATGGCCATGTCCTGGTAATAAGCAAAGTTCTGTCACTTCTAGCTACTAAGTGTTTTCCTCACTAAAGGGAAGGTCAGTTAAGATTTAGTGGTGTTCTTAAAACCCTTGGAGAGCTTTTACACAGAAAGTAGTAACCAGTTGTTCTCCATCTCTACAGAAAAAACGGCAACAGAAGATAGGAAGGGATGAGGACTTGGGTTATATAGAAGAGACTTTCTGGCTAGATGAGTTATTAGATTCTCTAGTGAATTATTAGAGATAATAGAAATTCTTAGTCCCTGGAGGTCTGTGAGAATGCAGTACATTCTCATCTCTCAGATGAGATGTGTTTTCCTTTTGAGTCAGAAAAATAGTGTCTATTGAAGATCTGCCCAGGAAAGTTAGTGATTTCCTGGACATGTTTTATGTTCGTCCCATGAGACATGAAACAATAAAGAAATACTTTTTTCCTTGCAAGGCTCTCTGGTTGCTTTGTTTTCTTCCACATGGCCGATACCTATCACTTAGAAGGACCATAGCTTCAGTAAAAAGCAAGGATTCCATGCTCAGTTGAAGAGCGCATTACAGATGTAAAACAAGCTAACTCCAAAAACACCATACAGATCTTAGTTTTGTAATATAGACACAGAACTAAAACAAAATGACCTTTCTAAAATAACACATATTCCTCTTTGTATAATGTTTCTAGTTGTCTGTTAAATAATGAAACTGGAATTAAGCCCAGATGTTTTACTCTAGAAAACTTGGGTTCTCCATACGTGTTTTTGATAAAGATGGTAATGATTTAATCCAGTAGGAAAACATGAATTTTCTTTTGCTCTTTTCATTTTTTTAGTTTTGTTCACATTTCCCAGTCTGGTATGAAATCCAAATGAAATATTATGGATAACTGGGAATGAGTCCAGTACTCGAGCAAAGTGTGAGCCAAAAAGATATTTGGATATTTACTACACATACCTTAAATTCAACCCAAGTATCGATGAAAAGTTATTTAGTTTTGGGCCGGCAGGTGGCGTGGTGGTTAAAGGCGCAGGACTCCCACATGGCTGACCACGGTTTGAGTCCTGGACCTGGTGGGTTACTTTTTCCCTCTCTGTCTCTCTCTGATCAAACTGGAAAATAATAATAAAAATGTTTTAAGTTATTTAGTTTTATCCCTTTAGATATTCCTACCCTAACTCAGATAATGATAGTATTTATATAAGCCCTCTAGGTAGCTATTTAGCCACCTCCCAATAGAATCAGACTTTGTGTGTCTATTTGCTTTTCCAAATGTAACAGTGTTTGAATAATTACTAAAGTTATTTAAAATATTCCTTTTTTTTTTTTTAATTTGTCAGAGGGCATGTGCACTCACCAGAGAGATAGAGAGGGAGAGAGAGAGAAAGCACCTTCCACAGGGGAAGGCCACACCACAATTCCTTCTCCTCCATTTCTCCTTCCTTTCAGGATTTTGGGCACACACATCCAGCATGTTCTATTTAAAGTATTCTTGGTGCTTAGTATAGGAATAGTGAAGTGACAAATAGATAGAATGATTGTTAATGTCAAAAAATGTTTAGGTATGGTAACAGGGACCACCAGATGGCATAGTGATTAAAGTGCTGGACTCCTACTTGACTGACTAAAGTTCCAGTCCCAGGCCTGGTGGCTTGCTTGCTCACTCTCTCTCTGGTAAATGCACATGCCCTATAACAAATTTTAAAATAATAATAATAAATGAAATTAAATAAATAATCATTTTTTTAAAAAGGAATGGTGACTTTTTTCATTGAATCGGATAGTTTTTCATAGTCTTTTGCTAAGTAATAAAAAAAAAATAGAAGCAGTCTGGGGAATGTATCCGCTATCTGCAGTTGTGTGTGTGCCCGAGGGAAAGCCTAGAAGGTTACATATCAAAATGGTGAGAGAGCGGGATTGCAGATGACTTTTATTTTCTATTTTTCCTTTTCTTTTTTCAATTTTTTCTAATTTTTATACATGAATACGGTTTGCTTGTGTAATTTGTAAAAGGTGGAGAGGAAGTGGGTCTGTATTATTCGACTTATTAGGATTTGTTTCTTAAGACATTTTAAAAATTAGAGACATAGGACCTGCAGGTAGTGTGGAAGTTAAGGCACTGGATCCCACAGCCAGCTTCCAGTTCCAGTGCCATACCAGCAGCTCGAGAATCATGCTGGGCGCATGTGCGTGCATGCCCCAAATCCTGAAATCAGAGTTGAGAGGGAATTGCAGCGTCGCCATCCCCCCAAGGGGTGATTTCTTGTTTTCTCTCTCTCTGTCTCTGTTTCTTTCTCTTTCTCTCTCTCTCATCGCTCTCTGGCAGGCAAGCACACACACCCTATTGCAAAAACTGAAAGGAAATATATATGTAGTTAGGAAATTCTTGCCTCGTCTAGAAGAGGTATATGTGTAATGGGTGACACTATCTTCAGACAGTAGCTTCTCCTTGTAGAGGTGGGTAATGTGTGAGTGAGAAAGGAAATTGTGTATCAAAAAGGAGAAACTATCACCTCAGTGATGAGGAAAATTCATAAACTAGTATTGGTACCCACTAGCAGATAGAAACATGGAAATTAAATAAACAGTTTTAAAAGGGGGAAAATTTACCCCTTTTTCAGAAGAAAGTAAAGTATGTGTATAAAAAGCCAAACATAAACGTTTTTATTTTTCTCTCTGCAGCAGTTTGGCAAAATCCTAGATGTAGAAATAATCTTTAATGAACGTGGCTCCAAGGTAAGCTCCATTTCAATATCAAGTGTGTTGGTTTTTGAATTTTGTTTGATCCTAAACAGAAAGTATTTGGAAAAGATAAGCCGTGTTTTAAGCCTGCATAAAAGTAAACCGAAGTATCCACCTTGGTTAGATTATCTCTAAAAATAAGTTACCACAAGAACAAACTTTATCCTCATGCTTAAATTGGGAGGGTGATGGGTTAAGAGACAAAGAAGTTTGAGAATGTAGCAGTCAGGATTCTAGGATATAGGAGACTGCAGGCCTTTAACAGCCTTAATTTTGACCCCAGCTTTCTTAGTAAAAGAAGAGAGAGAAGACTGAAAAAAAATGTAATTCTATGAGAATTCTGTTCTGAATTTCTGTCAGAACAATTTAGCTTTTTAAAATCCAACTTCAGAGTGGCATACCTGGAGCCAGTTTACTGTTTCAATGATTCAGTTGATCTGCTCTCTCTTCTGAACAGATTTTCACAAGGCTTAAACTGAAGTGACTCAGGAATTTTCTATGAACTGATTTTCTTCTTTAAGTTATAATTAAACTTCAGAATGTCGAGTCACTTAAACTATAAACATAGTGAGTTGTTTACAAAAGAATGAAAGTAGTAACTATAATTTGATGTATTCTTATCTAAATGTTTTCTATATAAGAACTGAAATGTTTAACTAAAATGTGTTTTACCCTATTAATTTACTACTTTAAATTTCTACTCTATATGACTTAGTTTCCATGCATCAAAATAAGCAGCTATGGTTTTAGGAATGAGGGAATGGCAAAGTCTTACAATGATGTTGTGAAAAAATATTTAATGAATTGAATTTGGGGAAGTTTTATCTGAAATACACCCTAGGAAAGCCAAACTTATGTTATTGCTGTATTCACCTGTACTTCTATCTTTAGGCTAAAGCAATTTTTTCTTTAATTTTTATGTGGTCATCTCTGCTAAATTTTGAAAATATCTCTTGGCTATGATTAAATTCTTCAAAAATAAAATTTGAGAAAAGGCACGATAAAGCCAATAAATAAGTTAATATTTAGCGCTCTTCAATTTCCTACTCCAAAGTCACCGTACTTTGAGAATTTATAACATATGTAGACCATGGACAGAGTCGTCTGTCTGTCTCCTGTCCCCGCCTGTCCTGATCCAGAGGTGTGCACTGTCCTAATGCTCCTGATTATCGTCCCTTCCCATATAGGATATATCAACTTCTGACTATAAAAATTCTTTGTTAATATTAAAGAGGTAATTATACTCTAAGCTTCCAGCTTTCAGTTAAAACACAAAAGATTAATATGTCTATGCAGAGCTTTCTCCAGCACTTACCTTGGTAAGTATTTTAAACATGAAATCTTATTTAACTGCAACCAGTGAGACTACTTATGCTCGTAATTTCCTCATAATGGGTTTCTAACCCCTTGTTGTATAGTTTGCATTTATTTGTCTTTGATCTTTTTAGCTACAAGGTGGGAAGATGACAGTGGTTTAGAGATGGGAAGCACATCAATGTAAAATAAGTGCGTGAAGACTCTTGACCACACTGTTCATCTGAAGTAGTAGTTTAAATATTTAAATATTTATTATATAAGTGTGTATAACTAAAGTATTTGTAACTAGACACTAACAACCAAAAGGCTAGCATAGTTTCATCTGACATCGAGGACATGCTCCTTACCAAGAAAATAATTTGGTTGAGAATTATTGCGAAGCAAAGGAAACTGATCTTTCTTGAGGCTTCTTTCATTGACTTCAAGGATTAGCCTTCTACCCAAAATCTTTACATTTACCTGATCCAGTTACTTCTCCCATGTAATTTTCATTTGAGAGTAATGGCACAAGCCTTCCTTTTCACTTTGGGGAATCTAAAAGCAAACGTTGCTCTTCTCGGTTTGATGCTCATTGCCTTGTTCGGGTATAGTCTGTATATGGTTGGGAAGTGTTTTAAAAACAAAGCACAGAATTCAGAATTACCCTGGATCTGCCTTCAATACAGAACCTTGTTTTCATCCTTTGACCTTGACTGTTACCTAAACTTGTTTCCTGGAATGAGTTCCCCTGGAACTATTCTAAGGCTCCGAATAGAGACTTATTTTAGAGTCAGACCCACAGATGCCTCATTTGGGATCCACCTAAGATAAATTAATGAGTACTTTCTGTGAATTAAGTTTAGTTTCTCATTTCTTTTATATGTTCAGGGTTGACTATAAAATTACAGCATGTCTTGAAAAGAACTATAGAAAAGGAGACTTTATTTGGTCCTATTGTTTAGTTAAGATTGCTCTGACTTTTAAACAGAGCACTTTTCTATGCAGAATTTAGCTTTATTGAATTATTTTTTAAGCACTATTGGAAAAACTATTCACAAAATAATTCTGAGATAAGCAATACTTACAAATGAAACAAGATTTAATGAAATTACTCTGAAATAAAAAGCAGTTCTTTACCTTGCCTTATTTTTTAGAACAAGACTGTGGACCCAAAGTTTGAGAATATACCTAAATGAAAACTGTTACATTTGCCAAACCCACTCCCTCCCTCCCTGCCAATATTCTGCCCTTTCAGCTTGCTTGTCCTCCAAAGAGTACTTGTTTATTTGTTGTTGATCATTTCTTTTTCTCTTCTCTCTCTCTCTCTCTCTCTTTTTTCTTTTTCCCATTTTGCCAGGGAGCATGTACGCTGGCCAGAGAGAGAGCCAAAGAGGGAGAGGGAGGGAGAAAGTACTCCCCAGTAGGTAGGGTCACATTGCAGTCCCTTCTACTCTGTTTCTCCACCATGTTGGGGTTTGGAGCATACACGCACACATACCTGATGTGTTTTTTAGTTGCTGGGTCCTCTGTTCGAACTATGCCTCAGCTATGTGAGATCTGGCTGCTTTAATTGACCAGGCCGTTGAGCTGGCCACCTTTTTCTTCTTTAACCTTCATTGTCTAGATTTGCTTTACCTAGATTATGGATGAATATATATTGTATACATGCACACACATGTGTGCATATATATTTAAATTATTTCACTTTTTTTTTGGTCTTCTTTTTCCTCCCTATTCCATTGTAAAAGCATAGCCATATCTAATATTTAATACTTAACTGAAAGACTAGCTTTTTGAAAATGTGCAATCAGGATATATGATGGAAAATGGTACCCCTGGTAAAATATTTTGGTAAGTCCAAATAATTTGGAAACGTCCAAGTTTCATCAGTTAATTACAGATTATTAATGTAAATAATAAGTAATGCTTAGAGCGGCCGTGTGTCCCAGTTTACCTAGGACATTTAGCATAATTATTAATAATGTCCCCTTCTTCAAAATATCCTGATTAGAACAATAAGCTATAATGTTCCTGTCCTTTTAGATCCTTGAGTAACAATGTAAAAACAGCCTTGAGAGAGAAAGTATGAGCCTAGCGGCAGTTGTGTGCGCTGGACGCTGCTATCAGCAGGCCAAGGCCACATGGAAGGCTGAGGTTTGATTCTGGCCTGCCCTAAAAAGCCGTGCACAGTAACACCTTATTGTAGTGTCAGCGACTAGGAGGTTGCTGTTGTTACAGGCAGTCATTACACAGCGAAGCTCTGTCTAAAATACCACACACATCACACCACGAGGGCCCAAAAGGAAACATGAAGCTTAATGAAAAGTAGAAAGGGAAAAGAAGCATTAAAGAGAATATTTACTACTGATATTCTGATATATTTACTTTTAGTCATTTTTCTCACATAGAATATTTAAGAGAATCCTAAATGATGGTCACCTGGTTCAACCTCCAGTTTTCTTGACCCTGCATTCTCTGATGGAAACTTTCAATAATTAAGAACTTGTTGCTTGGGGCCAGCAGGTAATATGGTAGTTAAGGTGTTGGACTCCCACGTGGCTGACTGTTGTTCGAGTCCCAGACCTGGAAGCTTGCTTTCTCACTTTCCCTTTCTTTCTCTCTCTGTGAGCACACGTGCCCTATAGCAAAGAATAATAATAATAAGAAGAAGAATAACAATAATAATAAATTAAATAAATAATTATTTTTAAAAAGACCTTGTTGCTTTTCAAATGAACTTCAAATTTTTATGATCCTATTCACTATTACTCAGGCACATAATTTTCCATAATTTTCAAGTTTATTAAACTAAAAAAGACACAGATTATAACACTTGTGTTTTCCATATACTTTCAACATATTTTTCCATAAACACTAAATACTCAGAAGTTCTTGACCTCTTCAGACAGTGGCAATTATTAAATCCACCAAAGGACTGCATAGCAGAGCACAGCATCAACTAGGAGATTTCCAGCAATTTTTAAATGAGCATGTTCTCATTACTTCTCTCAGGTGGATTTCTAGAATGATGGGGGTTCTGGGTTTAGTTAGGCTTGAGTTTAGGCTTGAATTGGGAATAAGATGTCTGTCCCCACTTGTCAGACACAAATAATGTGCTGTAGTTTCGTGTCTATTATCCTGGCTTTTGATTTCATGCAAAGGGAAATTATTTGTTGCTTTCAAAATATCGTTAAATACTTTGAAGTCGCACTAAGTGGGCCTTTTATGATTTTCAATAAAATTTGATAGGTAATGCTAAAAGGAAATGTTTTTCATTTACACTTAAAACTGAATTAACAGTGCATGTAACTCCAAAAGGCTTAAGTTTATTTTTATTTTGTTACCATCTTATGGGTTTTAGTTTTCTTTTATTTATTTTTTAATTTTTGTGTTCTGGCCATACCCAGGAGATCCGTCTGCTTTTGATTTCTCCCTTAAAAGTTACATGGTAAATTTTCTTTCTCATTCTTCTGAGATGGAAAAATTCAAAGATTATACAAAATTTTAAATATTTTTACAATGCTCATCCTATTGCTTGTTATTTATTACAGTCTGAGGCCAGACTAAAAAGATGACATTACTCGGCTCCATCTGTCCTTGATAAATGGATGGATATCCAGACAGGTGATGAGATTGCTGTCACACTGTGCAAAAGTTTTAATCACAACCAAACGCCTAGGAAACACACCTGTCCTCAGTTTCCAGAATTCAACAAAGATAGCTGGGAGTATAACACCGATACTGACATACTTAAATTATTAATATTGAAGGACTTGGGAGCCCTGAGAGCCTTCCTTAGAAAGGAGTATAGCGCTGGTAGGTGGCATGAATGTTAAGGTGTCTGCATCCCACATGTCTGACTACGCAGTTCGAGTCCTGACAGTTGTTTGGGACCAACAGATGGTGGTATAGTTGCTGGATTCCCAATGTAGTCGACCATGGTTCAAGTCCTGGACCCAGTGGCTTAAAACTCACGCTGAGAGTTTTAAGGAAATGTGTGTGTGTGTGTGTGTGTGTCCAAGATCCTGAGAGGAGAATGGAGGAGAAGGAACTATGGCATGGCCATCCCCCCGGGGGGTGATTTCTTGCTTTCTGTCTCTCTGTCACTTCAGCAAGTGCACGTGCCCTGCAGCAAAAGTCTCTCTTTAAATAATAATAATAATAATTGTAAATGTGATAAAGAAGCATGAAGTTTGAGAAAGTCTCAACATGAGAAAAAAAACTAACAGTACTCTAAAAATACTGACTATACTTCTCACCTTTCTAATCATGGACTTTATTTAATTCTGTAAGATATATATTAATGTCCTATTGCTTCTCAACAAATTACCACAAATTTAGTGGCTTGAAACCTCACATTTATTACCTTACACTTCTCAGGGTCAGAAGTTGGAAATAAGTATTGCTAGGCTAAAGCCAAGGAGCCTCTAAAGGATAATCCATTGCCTTGCCTTGTCCACCTTCAAGAGGATCCCACATTCCTTGGACTGTAGCTCCCTTCTGTATTCAAAGCCAGCAGTGGCCAGTCGAGTCTTTCTCAGACTGCTCTGCTCTGATTCTGATTCTCTTGCTTCCTCTTTCACTTACAAGCACCCTTGTGATCACATTGGGCCACCCGGATAATCCAGGATAATCTCCCTATCTCGCGATCATTAACTAAATCACATCTGTAAAATCCCTTTTGCTCTGTAAGGTAACATATGCACCGGTTCTGGGGATTCTGCCTACCACAAGGTCTATTTATCTTCAAAGGAAAGAAGGAAATCCTCTTACCTCTGTGCTTCCTATTAGAGAATCCCAACGAGGCCTTCTTTCTCCTATTACCCTAGGACAAGATGCTTGCAAAGATTGCTTTATTTTTATGGTTGGTGTCTTGATTAGCATTTCCTTTGGTGTGTAATCATCTTTCTGTATAAAACACTTTTCAAACACTTGAAAATGAAATTTTGTCCCAGAATATTAAAAGTCATTATTGAGAAAATCTATACAAGCAGACATTAAGGTTAAACATGGTCATTTGTTGACTTTAAAATTTCAGCACTTTTGAACCTCCATTCTTTTGGAAGCAGTTATTGTGTCACCAGCATTTGGTCAACATATTCTAGAATGAAATATTATACAACTTGACAATTAGATTTGAAAAAGAAAACTATAATTATTTTAGGATTAACATAGTTTAATGAATAGGACACTGAGCTTGGATTTACAGAGTTTAATTTCAGATTTTTTTCACCACTAGCTGTATTTACTTGAGTACTTAACCTTAATTTGACTCAATTTCTTTACCTTCAAAATAAAACCAGTGGTACCAGCAGATGGCATAATGGCTACATTGTTGGACTCCCATGTAGTCCACCGCGGTTCAAGTCCTGGGCCCAGTAGCTTAAACTAACATCGAGTGTGTGTGCGTGTGTGCCCAAGATCCAAGAGGAGAATGGAAGAGAAGAGATTGTGGCGTGGCCATCCCCCCTTGGGGATGATTTTTCGCTTTCTGTCTCCCTCTGTCTTTCTGGTTATGTTTTTGTTATAGGGAGTGTGCGCTCACTGAAAAGGCAGAGACAGAGAGACAGAAAGCAAGAAATCACCTCCCAAGGGGGATGGCCACACTGCAATCCCTTCTCCATTCTCTTCTTGGGATCTTGGGCAAGCCCAAACCCGCACCTGGTGTGAGTTTAAGCCACCAGGTCCGAAACTTGAACCGCGGTCGACTACATGGGAGTCCAGTGACATAGCCATTACGCCAGCTGCTGGTCCCTCCAAATTCGTTTTCGAAAATTGTGTTCCCATTGACATTTTCAACTTTCTTTATTTTTTAAAGACTTATTTTGTTTAACTATTTAATTTTTTTTTTTTTAATTTGACCAGAGAGGGACAGAGTGAGAGAAGAGAAAGAGAGAGAAAGTGAGAAAGGAAGCTGCCAGGTCTGGTACTCGAACCATCATCAGCTATGTGGGAATCCAGCACCCTTAATCACCATGCCACCTGCAGACCCCATCAACAAATGTATACTTTCTTTAGGAGAGTTTCAACTAAAATCACCCCTATAATATTTTATTCCAAGCAACATAATTTTTTTTTAACTATGCCATAGGGCTCGTACTCTCACCAGAGAGCACCCCCCCCATGGGGTATAGCCATGCCACAATTCCTTCTCCTCCATGTCTCTCTCCTTTCAGTATTCCGGGCACACCAGGCACCCAGTGTGTTTCTGAAGCCACCAGATCCATGACTTTAACTGTACTGCCAGTCATGTGGGATCTAGCTACTTTAACCTCCATGCCACAGGCTGGTCCTGCAATTTCTTTTAAAAAAAAAAATTCATTTATATTTTGAGGGTTGGGGAGAAGAAGGACATACCTTTGGCGGGTTCCTCACCGACAGTTCTCCCTCAAACACTGCAGCAAAACCAAGCTCACGATCAGCCCAGCCATGGAAGTGAGCCCAGAGTTTTCCGACATAGTTGTTTGTCATCATTGTGCAACAGTGACACTATTGCCTGTACTACCCAGACTGGGCCAGGACTGTATCTTAAGTTATTCTAGTCCCAGAGGAATTAATACTGATAGAAGCAACCAGCAAAATGGAATTAAAATGATTAGACTGCCTAAAAAGAAAATCTCATTATATAGTGATTGAACCTGAATATCAGATTTCATGTAGCAGTTCCTGGGGAATAATAAATTTGGAATGTCAGAGAATTCATTTAGTTAAGTCTTTTTTAGAGTATTACATGAAAAGAACACGTACAGTAAATTAACAGCGTGAATTGAGAAAGGTAGGACATTAAAAAAATGTTCAAATTCTTAGATGAATAACTCTGTACCGAGTAACTCTGTACCTTAATTTTGGTCTGGCCTCAAATGCTTTGTATTTTATTTTATTATTGTTATTATTGTTGTTAATTATACCATTATTACTATTATTACAGTTCTTTATTCTTTTATTGTATTTAATTTACCTTTACAAAATATGCATGGACCAACAATGTGACTTTGGGAGAGTATTGCTGAGTTGTTGCTGATGTCAGTTTCATACTGTGATATTTGTTCTCTATTTACCAAGAGATCAGTATTTCAATATAACGATGTGCATGTTTTCCCCCCTTCTCCCGCTGCATGCAGGGATTCGGGTTCGTAACTTTCGAGAATAGTGCTGATGCAGACAGGGCCAGGGAGAAATTACACGGCACCATGGTAGAGGGCCGTAAAATCGAGGTGCATGTCTTCAATAATTCAATTTCTGGTTTATATTTTTATTTCTCTTTTTTTGTATTGCCTCACTTATTTCACATTTGGAACCCTGTCTTGTTTGTGTGTGCGCACGCACATGTATGTGTGTTTGTATCTCTGTGTTCTTCACCTTCTTGCACTAAAATGTATTAAATTAACATTTCTGTCTGCCTCCTCCCCCATTTTTTTGGTTGTTCAGGGGTATTGATTTTGAATTTTTTTGTGTGCGTGTGTATGTTTTTCATTTACTTTTTTCCTCTTCCAAGATATTCATACTTCTGCTCTCTTGATTTTTTTCCTTTGCTTCAGTTTGCGATTCTCTGAATTCCTGTGATCAGGCCTAAACAAAACTAACTTTGAAGGTGTCTAAAAACTATCCAGTATATACCGCTGTGTTCTGTGATGAATCAAGGGGCCAGCCAATATCTTCTTTCTCTCAGGAGGCCAGTTCCCCTCCATGTGCGTGTGATGAGCACAAAATAAAAGATTTCAGAGGAGGTGGGGAGGGAGGACAGAATCCAAAACTCATGTCATTTTCAAATATCTAATGCCAAGAATTTCAGCAGTTCACTCTTAAATTCTTTCTCAGACAGAGGGTTTGTTGGCTGGCAAATGTACCATGATGGTGATCGAGTCAGCCAGATGGAGTTCACCAGCCTTTTCTGGTAGCACATTGAAGGTTAACTGGCTCCTTTCCCCCTTTCCCATTTTTTAAGAGTATTAAATATAAAAGCCACCATTTTTGAGTAAGATGTCTGCATATTTTGCTTTTTTCCCCCCTTTCCAATGGTTTAGCATTTAGGGCCCTT